GCGGCGGCGGCGGCGGCGGCGGCGGCGGCGGGAGGCGGAGGATGCGGGCTCCGGCAGCGGCGGCGCGGGATCGGGAGGACGCGGGAGGATGAGGAGGAGGCCGGCGGTCCGGCCGCGCGGCGCCGGGAGGAGGCGCAGGCGGCGGGGGCGGCGGCGGGCGGCGGCGGGCGCGCGGGGTGCGGGCCGGCTCGGGCGCGGAGGATGAAGTGGAGCGTCCGCGGGGCCTGCGCCGCGCTCTCGTCCTGTCTCCTGCTCGCCTGCGCGCTCAGCGCCGCCGCCGTCGGCCTCAAGTGCTTCTCGCTGGGCTCGGAGCTGCGCGGGGAGCCGTTCCGGCTGGGGGCGGCCGCCGGCGCCTTCTACTCGGGGCTGCTGCTGGCCGCCGGCCTTTCGCTGCTCGGCGCCGCCCTGCTCTGCTGCGGGCCCCGGGACGCGCCCCTCGCAGGGCCGGGGCCGGGCCCGGGGCTCGGGGTCCCTGCGGCCCCGGCCGGGGCTCCGGAGGCCGCGCCGGGCGAGCAGGCGGCCGCAGGGGGACCCTCGGGGCCGGTGAACAGCCAGAACCTGCTCCTGCTCGGCGTCCTCGTCTTCATGCTCGGGGTCCTCAGCGCCTTCGCGGGCGCCGTGATCGACGGCGACACCGTGTCCCTCGTGGAGCGCAAGTACTCCCACTACTGCCTGCCCCCGCGCGCGCCGGCCGCCGCCCCCGGCCCCGCGGCCGCCGCCCCCGGCGCGCCGCGCGCCCGCAGCACCCCGGACAGCGCCACGCCCGCCAAGTGCCGGCAGCTCAAGGACTACCAGCGCGGCCTGGTGCTCTCCACCGTCTTCAACTCGCTCGAGTGCCTCCTGGGCCTGCTCAGCCTCCTGCTGGTCAAGAACTACAGGTCGTCGCAGGCCCGGCGCGGCCGGCGCGGCCGGAGAAGGGGAGGCCGGGCCCTGGCGCGGCCCCGCGGCGGCCCGGGGCTCCGCGCGCAGCTGCCAGTCTCCCGGGCGCGGCGGGGCCGGCGGGGCCGGCGGGGCCGGCGGCTGCAGCCGCGGCCGAGCGAAGCCTCTATCCTGTCCCCGGAGGAATCGGACTTGACCGCCCCGGGGGACTGCGCGGACTTTGCGGCGCACCACGCCGTGTCCTACATCAACGTGGGCGTCTTCCACGCGTTCGACGAGGCGGGAGTGGAGGTGTGCTGCGGGGGGCACCCGTCAGTGGAGCTGCCGGGTTACGCACCCTCGGACCCCGACCTCAACGCCTCTTACCCCTACTGCTGCCGGCAGCCTTGTGATGCGGCGCGCCCTTGGGCGCCGGGCCGGGCCTGCTGAGCCCCCGCGCGCACCTCCTGTCCGACCGCGGGGCGGAGGAGCACAGGGCCAGGGAGCCCGCGGTGCACCTGCGAGGGCGGTGTGGCCGGCGGCCCCCAGGGCTCCCCGCCACCCAGCCCTCTGGGGTTACCATTTTTGTGTCGGAGGCTTTCTTCTCTTCTCTGTCTGTCGGTATCCGGATTCCATTTTAAAGTTTACAATAAATGTTTTGGGGTTGGCTCGCCCCCACCGCACTTCTCTGGCAAATCCGTTCCCTGGGCCGCGCCCCGAGGCCCCGGGTGAGACCAGGGTAATGGGGGAGGAAGGACCCTCGTCAAGAGGACAGAGACAAAGCAGCTGGGACTTAGGAATGAGGGGAATGACAGAGCCCCCAACAGCAACACTTTGTACACGGATGTGCCTGCTTTTGTCCATACTTTCTTACTGTAAAGCTCTCCATAAACAGTGAAAATGTTTGGTAAATTTATTGCAATTTAAAATTGGTGAGTTACTTTATTAAATTAATTGCTATGCTATTGGAGATATTCATCAAATTGGAGTTGGAGAGTGCACACAAATCAGTTTGGGGGGAAATGGTTGAATTTGGTCATTTGTTGAGTTTAAACAGTTGTACGCTGCTAGCTGGTTGACTAAATCCAACCTCTTTCTGAAGATAACTTTCTGCGTGTATATCAAGTCCCATACCTTTCTTTGTTTGGAAACTGGTGATGGGGTTGCTATTGCAAAGCTGAGCTTATTTTTGGCTAATACATGAAAATAATCCAGTCCTATTTTGGAGAATCACAGTTACGTTTTTCTGGCAAAGATTATTTTCCTGTTGATTACTTCATGAATCTGGTAATTTTTAATATTGTAGCACTTCATTAAAAATATACCCCTTAATTAGCCTTAACTGAAGTGAAGATTAGGGTTAGGACATACATGTGTGTGCATACTTACACACACAATATGAAATGCATTCCAAATAATGTTGAAGTGTGTTTCGAACTAGTCTGCTGAGCTGGCTGGGAGCTGGGCAGGCTCACAGTCTTGGGGAAAGGTAATCCATATCTGTGTGCCAGGCAGGTATGCCACTGATTCTGGACTTGATGGCAGTAGAGCCCAACGCTGACCTACGGGGGCGTGCCTTTTGCAGAAGGAGCAGAGGCCATGCACAATATTCTTGACAGGAGTACGCACAACGCAGAACGCTTGGTGAGAAAAGCAAAAGAAATGATGTGTGAGACCTTTATAGTGTATAAGGGGCCACTCGTAATGGTGACAGTAGCCAGATTTAGGGGTGGAGGTGGAGTTGTTGCCAGGTGCAGGCTCTGGAGTGGCGCCTCTCAGGTCCCAGCCAGAGTTGCCTTGTACCTGGGTGACCTAGGCTCCCGTCTAGCTGGGACCTGGCCGGGCTGCCTAGCCACAGCAAGGCTGCTGGAGAGAGGAGGCCCATCTCCACACAGGGATGTGGAGACCTATCACCGTTCGCAGTCGCTCTGTGGCGGCGGCAATCCCGTCACACTGATGCCCGGGGAATCACTAAGGAGCTTGGGGTTTGATGGCTGGGGTGGGCCTGCGTCCTCTCCTTGTTACCGTGGTGCTGCGGGAGGAAGAGCATTTCCTGGGTTCTCATCCACGGGCCTCTTCAGATACTGGTCCATGTTAGACCTCTGGCTTCCACCAGAGGGAGGGCACGGCCCAGCGAGGCCCACCTCTGGCCCTTACAGGCTGGCCTCTCTTGCCCCTGCATGACCAGTCCACTGGCCACCAACCTAAAGCAGAAAACAAAGGGAAATTATTTCACCTAAAGTGAAAAGATACAGTGAGGTGACGGTCAGGACGATTTTCCTCACTTGCCTAAATCAGCTCAGTGAGACCCTGCCAGGCGGCTCCTGCCCCCTCCTGGAGCAGAGGCCGCACAGGCAGCTAGGAGCTGACCTCCCAGAGCTTCACAGCGCAAGTGGCCAGGTCACTGGGTGTCTGACGGGTGGGCACACCGTGGGCTCCTGTAGAAAGCTGCTGGGCAGGGGCTGACCGGGCAGACACATGAGTACAAGGATGTAAGCTGCCAGACCTCCCATGTCCCTCCTGTTTTTGAGGTATTCCACCTTACACTGTTTGTGCGGCCTAAATGTTAGATGCCTTATGAGACTTTCAAATCAAAATAAGACCTCTCTGAAGTATAGACTTTTCTTGGGTAGAACAGAGGGCAGAAGAGGATGGGGCGGGCAGGAACTCCATGCCTTCAGGCTGCCGGGACTTCCACGTGACCAGCAAACCAGATGAGATGACTCAAGATGCTAATGCCGCAAACTCCATGAACATTGATGACTCCAATTTACAGAGGCTGATAAAAGGATGCGGGATACCGGGGTTTTATTTTTTAAAGTTTCCTAGAGGAAAAAAAATTCTAAATATCCCTAAACTCAAATTGCTCCAAAGATCAGTACTCAGGGAAATGAGCGGAGAATCATGAAGCCAACGAGCTTCTAGTTAGGACTAACTTCCTTGTAACAACTCCAAATTCCTTGAAGTTTATCCAACTCATGGCAACACGTTTTATTCATGTTCATTCTACTTTTTGAAAGTTTGAGTTGTTTAGAATTAAGTCTTTACACTTCTTGGAAAATAATGCCACTTTTTGGATCTTTCTTTAAAGGGGTCTTACTCTGCTTCTCAGAATAATAATAATAAATTCTTGGCTTGGTGGAGGCCAGACTAAGAGCTTATTAACATTAAGATGGTGAAATGCCAAATTTAAATTAAATGCATTTTAGCATTTTTACATGGCCTAATGCTGAGTTTGTAAGTGTTAGTTTAAACATAAAGGCTGTTTACTTTTAAGGGGATAATTTAATTACGACAACATACGTTGTAACCAAACCGTGTTTTCTCAAGATCGATAAACAGGCGCTCCTGGGGTCTCATCATACGGGTCACATGCCTTTCCTCAGGGGGAGGGAGTGCTCTGCCCCTGACAACACAGACCTGGTCCACACAACTAAATTTCTGACTGAAATTTAATTAAATAATCATTTAATTAAAAAACTCAGATGGCATTTTTGGTGAAGATCAACTGCTGGTGATTGAAGTTTTTACTCCTGGCTGCTGGTTTCATGACATGGTGCAGGTAGAAGCCTTGAGCCTACACACACACACACACAAACATGAATGCATACACATTCATGCACACAGAAGCATACATGCACATGAGCATGAGCACACAAAAATACACACGAGCGTGTGCACATAGACATTCACGTGCACGTGTACAGACATGCACACACACATTCTCACATGCATGCAAACACACACGTACATACACACTGCCCCCTGGGTGGTGCCTGAGGGCCAGGCCAGCAGCCCTGCCTGGGGCATCCAAGCGTCCATGCGGAACCTGGCTGGGGTAATTGGCCGGGCTGTGGACTACTGCCTCCCACTGCCTCAGCCTTGTAGGATATGCGTGTAGGAAGCATGCCTTGGGGGCTACCTTTGGATGCTGAGCAGCACGTGGGCCTGTGTACTTTGTCACGTCCTGGTGGGGAGTCCCCGCACCGGGATGCCTGTACAGCACAGCAAGCCACAGTGGAGCTGCACTGGGGTCTGAGTGAGTGGCGGGGGCCCGGCTGAGTCCCTAGGCTCTCGGTGGGTCTGTGCTGCACACACGCTACAGCAGCTTGGCCAGTGCTGGCCTCTTTGGGCCACTTTTGGGCCTAGCTCCCCCTCTGAGCAAGGGCTGCATGCATGTCACACTGTCCATGGTGCCCTCAGACTATTGCCCCAAAGCATTGTTTTCTCACCAAGATATGAAAGAAAATAATGACAGACACCTTAAGAAAAATGAATTGTGGTATAAAATAAGTATAAACTTTATATGCCTGTGCACCTATTTTTTTTCTGAGGCAGAGACAGCATCCTGATGTCAATAGGTTTACTATCCAGATGATCCAGTTTCTTTGCTTCATCTGCTAATTTTCAGCATGGTGATCGACAAGGACAAAACACCAACAGATGGAAAAGAAAACTTTACTTGGGAAATAGTACGCATATATCATTATGTGCCCAGCTTGAATTCTCCCAAGGACTTCCTGGGGTGGCAGGAGAAAGCCTGGTGGTTCCCATTACAGAGTTGTAATTATAAGTGTTTTCTTAAAATCTCCATGTTCAGAGGGGAATCTACTTATATGTGTGAGTTTCATCTATTTTGCTTTCTTATTGCCTTTGATCCTCAACAGAATGTCAATAAAAACCTTGTCACTCTAGGACCAGTAGAATCTGTGTTGAAGCACAGTGCACCCCACAGAACCCCCCAGCACTGTGCGGCTCCCATCTGGTTCTGCAGACCAGGCGGCGGGGGGTGGCCAGACCCACCCCAGATGTGCCAAGGGCAGGAGGGCCGAGCAGGTGAGTGGGTCAGCAGAGGCTGCTCCGATCCTGTGCTGCGCCTGCCCTGGGTCTGCCCGTGGCACCCGGGGGTGTCCCACCTTGCCTGCCTTTCTCCCATCACCCCAGCCCTGTATTTGGTCTTGTGTACCTGCTCAAGTCCTTATGCTATTCCTGAACCACCAGCCTGACCCTTTCTTCATCTCTACTCCTGGTGCAACATTTTCCTAAAACATGGGTCAGATTGTGGGACCCTACTCAAGAACTTCCCTTTTCCTAAAGGCAAATAAAGCCTTGTGGACTTGGTCCAGCCTGACCCTTTGCCTTCTCTGTGGCCATCAGGGGCCAAAGATGAACTGACAAGGGCTTCTCCCAGTGGGGCTCGTGAATGAGCAGCTGTGCCACTGAGGCTGGTACTCTCTGGACAAACACCAGGGTCCCCTGGCTGTGCAGTGGGAAAGAAAAATGGACTGTGTTGATGAGAACGGGAAGGAGCGCTAAGTACCTGGGCAACATCATGGGGCAAGAGGTGTGGGCCTGGGCTGCCTCAGGGGCAGGAGGTGTGGGCCTGGGCTGCCTCAGGGGCTGGGCTACCTCAGTGGCCTGGACCTTTTAGGAGTTTGTATTACTTTCCTGTGGCTGCTGTCACCAAGCACCACAAACTGGTGGCTTAACACAGCAAATATTTATTCTCTCACAGTTCTGGGCGTCAGCAGCCTGGGGTTGAGGTGTCAGCAGGCTGGTTCCCTGGGAGCTCCCAGGGGCCCGTTCCATGTGTGTCCCCAGCTTCCTGTGCTGCTGGCAGTCCTTGGCATTCCTTGCTCTGTAAGCTCATCTTTCTAGTCCTGCCTCTGCCTCCGTATGGCCCCCTCTGGGCGTCCCTCTCTGCCACTTACGAGGACACTCTCATTGCACACTCTAATCCAGTATGATCCGCAAAAACCTTATTTTCAGATAAGGTCATATTCTGGGTGGACAAGAATTTTGGGGGGACAACACTGAACTGTGTACAGAGCCTGGTCAAGGTTCGCGGCTTGCTCATTCTTCTCTGCAGAGGCCTTCCTGTCTTCCTGCGTGGGGCTAGCTACCGAGGGCCTTGGGCACGTGCGCTCCCTCCCTGGGAACAGAGCTCTTGGAGCCCCTCAGACCGCAGGTGTTCCTGGACCTGAACAGATTGGTCAGATTCCCAAAAAAGCTCATACATTAACTGCCCAAGGGGAAAGCTGTCCTGAAAATAAGTTACATTTGGCTCACTTGCAAATATTTTTAGATGTCCTGTGTCCCTCCCCAGATACCCCCACCCTCCCTCACCGCTTGCCCATTCCACCCATTCTGAGGCTGGGTAAAGGAGGCTCCCAGAGCTGCAGAGGCCACGCCCTCACCTGCCCATCCAGCAGCTGTTTATGGGGACTTCACAGGAGCCTCGGGGATTCTGTGGCAAACCTGGTGGCACGTTGCCGTCTTTGCTGGTGTGGGCCCTGATCAATGGCTAATATGCCATGTGGGCTCATCAAGGGCCAGGCCCTGTGTGCCAAGCACTTCAGGTTCCCTGCCTGCCTTTATCCTGAAAACAACCAGTTTACAGGTGGGAATACTGAGGCTTAAGGAATGAGCGTCTATGCCCAGGATGGAGCCTGTGTGAGAGCCATGGCCTGACCTCAGTCTCTCCTGCGGCCTGGAACCCCCGTCTCATTCTAGCTGCAAAGCAGGAACAACGTTCAGTTCCTAAGCAGCATTTGTGGGGGTTCTGTAAGCGTGGGCCGCATGACAATCTCTATCCCTTTCCAGACCTCTGGGTGCTTAAAAGTCAACCACCTCCTCACTGCCTTCAGGGTCCCTCAGCACCCAAACTGAGCTTTCTCCCCAGCTTGGCATCTCCCCCTTCTCAGCTGAATGGCTCCATGCCCACCCCCAGAATCCTGTTCTAAATGCCCTACACACTCTCCTCACCAAGTGCTTTGACTCAACTCATCTCATTCAGTTTTTCATTCAACAACTATCAGCTGGGCCAGGCGCCAGCAATCCCAGGGAGTGCCCGCGCCCCAGCACCCACCTCTTGCCCTGATGGGAGCACCTGTGCTCGTGCTCCAGAGAACCGCAGGGCAGAGATCTCACATGCCTTTTTTTCACACTAAATCCAGAAATCAAGGTGTATTTTACACTCAGAATACACATCAGTTTGAACCAGCCGCATTTCCAATGCTCAGTGACTGTGTGGAGTGGTTTGCCGACTGGTCTAATTTAGAATGGCTTGTTTCCCCTGCAGGCTTCTTTTATTTTGATTAGGAAAAATGTTCATAAAATATTGCACATAATATAACACACAAGGGTCCATCTCTGAGTCAGTCTGCATTGCCATCAAAACCAAAATCCCAAATTTTAAATTGTTAACAGTTGAAAATATTATTCCTCATATTTAGACCACATTTCTCTCTTATTTTTAAATATGTAAAGTGTTACAGGAGCAGCCAGCACTTCCCATTGTCCTTTAAGCCACTGCTCACCTCGAACTGATCGCGGGTCATTCCCCAGGATCTTTTTTGAGTTTCTTCCACCAAAGTGTGTGTCCATGCACATTGCACAGTATTGTTTTACATGTTTTTAAACTTTACATAATGGTGTCATGCTCTATTTAATCTTTATGCCATATGCTTTTTGCACTCACTATGTTGTTTCTGAGATTTATTTGTGGTGCCCCCCTGTACCTCCGGCTCATTACTCTAGCTGATACATCACATCCCCTCGAGCAGATAAACAGCTCATTGAGCATTCCCCTACTGAGGCACGCCTAGATTACTTTCTTCTTTACTCTTACAACCAGAGCTGCACCAAAAGCCTTGCCTGCGTCCTTGTTCTCAGGCACGGCTTTCTCTAGGCCCCACACACAGGAGTGAGCGCCGGGTGTGTGCATTGCTGCTCTGCCCGTCGCTGCATGCTGCGCCGCCCTGGGACAGTACTGAGATGCGGATGCATACGAGTCACAACTCCCAGCAGCCTGCAGGGCACCTTCTCCGCCTCCCCCACCCTGTCCTCCCTTGGTTGCTGGTAAACGGTATTGCATTGCTCTCACATTCAGTGCCTTCTGCTTCTCACTCCAGCTTCAGAACAAAGTAGCTGTCTTTTTACTTACTGATTTCTAGGAGTTTGCGACCCATGCTCTGCATCCCACTCCCCCGGGGTTGGCACATCTCTTGTCCCAGAGTGGAGCTGTCCCTTCATTTATTTTGTGGTGTCATTTGCCAAAAACTAAATCACATTTATTAATCTTTTCCTTTATGGCTTGTCTCCCTGTTTCTTAAGAAATACTCCCTATCCCAATGTTTTAAAGATATTTTTGCTTTTCTTGTAAAAATTTTACAATTTTGTTTTTATATTTAGATCTTTATCCATTGGGGAATTTATGATGTGAGGTAGAGAGCTCATTTTATCCTTTATTATGTATGTGTGTTTACTTATCTGTATCTATTAAATACCTTTCATCTACCTATATCATCTTTTTCCTTTATCATTTTATCCTTTGTTGTATGTATAGCTAATTTTTGTTATTTTTCTTTATCATGTTAACCCAATTATTTCAGTGGATCTATCAAATCCATGCCTTTTAACCTGTTTGTAACATCTTCCTTCACATATACTGATATTCCATATTCACACAATTTTTCTTTTTTGTTCATTTTTTTTTTCTGTTTATTTACATGTCCCACATCTTACTTCTTAAAAATTCTGCTCTTGGCATGTCCCAGTGTGTATTTTAGATGAGACCGCCCATGTCAGGTAGCACCTTGTTGGCACACAGACTGGACTGTGTGTTGATTCGGGCAGAATGCCATCTTGACAATTTATAAAGTCCTTCCATCTTTGAATAGGTGTCTTTCTCCACTGATTTAGGTCTTTTTATGTTTTCCAATAAAATTTAATACTCTTTTCTGTAAATGCCTGCATGACTTTAATTCCATTTTCCTGAGATACATTTTAGTTTTTGTGGCTATTGCCAATTTTCTTTTAGAAACAATTACCTTTTCTGTGTGTGGCTGCTTTAAGGCTGCGACGGGCTGATCGGCCGGGCTGCAAACATCTCAGTTCTAGTGCCTTGTCTATTTCCAGCATCATCTGTGACTAATGATGGCTTTGTTTCTGCTTTCCAGACCCTGGTGTGTTTTGTGGCCCACGAGCTCTTGCTAAGATCCACACACACTTGAGTGGCTTCGTCTTCTCATGCCCCGCGTCGTCAGGCATGGGGCATGCCCAGGACCTTTCAGCCCACTGAGGAAGTTTCCTTCAGTGTTTAGTCTGCAAAGGCATTATTTAATAGGTATTGAGTTCTATCAGTATCTATTTCTTATCTGTTATCTTTTTTCCTGGATTAATCTATTACTGTGGTAAATTACACTAATACAGATTTTGATTTTAAGTCAAGCTAGTAAAGTGTCCAGTTTAAAAGTCAAATGTACTATTGTTTCACCCTCTTCTGTATTTCCACCCCCACAAGCAATCACTTTTTGGTAATATGCCTCCATATTTATGGAAAAAAATGACTATTTTGCTACTCTGGTTGTCTCTGTTTTGAATGATTACTGGTTTCTTGCTAATGAACACGGGGATCAGTGTCCTTACACCCCCAACTTGACGACTTTGTTACTCTACCCTCCTAGGAGTTTTGACATTATTTGGGGGTGAAATCAGTATTCTACTTAATTAAGATCATAAACACCATCCACAGATGAGGCCCCACAACTACATTCTTTATTTTCCTTGAAATTAACAACTGCCATGTTTTCCATGAACCTGTGGCCAAGTTATCCCCAACTTTCGGCAGAAGTGAAAACATTGTGTTCAAACATGCCGAGTAAACCAGGATTTCTTTCTGTACAGACCTCCCTTCCAAGCCTTCACCTCCTATGACATGGGCCTCTCCTCCGTGGACATGACCTCTCTGCACGGTCAGTATCGGGGACACCCCCTCTGCTTCTCTCAGGTCCCTGAGTACAGCTGCGCACTGTGCCCCAGAATATCAGTGGGTAGTGAGTGGAGCTGAATTCCTGTCAAGTGACACTGGCCAGTCACAGATGTTTACAGCAGTTTTATTCATAACTACCAAAATTTAGAAGCAACCAAGATGTCCTTTAGTGAGTGAGTGGGTAAATGGTAACTCCAGACAATGAAATATTAGCACTAAAAAGAATAAACTATCAATCCCTGCAAAGATAGGGAGTAACTTTAATGCATATTACTAAGTGAAAGAAGCCAATCTAAAAAGGCTCCGTGTGGTATGATTCCAACTACATGACACTCTGGAAAATGAAAAACTATGGAGACAGCAGAAAAGTCAGTGGTTGCCAGGGGCTTTATGGGGAACATGGGATATTTAGGGCATTAATATTTAGGGATATTATTCTCTTTGATAATATAATGGTGGATACCTGCCATTATACATTTCTCAGAACCAATAGGATATGCAAGACAAAGAGTGAAACAATGTAAACTATGGACTTCAGCTAATAATAAGGTATCATTATTGGCTCATCAATTATAACAAATGTATCACTAATTCAAGATATTTGTAACAGAGGAAACTATGTTGGGAAAGTGCAATGTGAGGAGTCCCTGTACTTCCCACTGAATTTTTCTGTACGACTAAAACTATTCTAAAAGAAAGCCTGTTAATTAAAAGACACTGGTGAAGATAAAACAGAATACTAAAAATTATTAAATTAACCCAAAGAAGGCAAGAAAGGGAAACAGAAGAATGACAACACTGAAAAAATGAATCAAGTATAAATGGGAGCTTGAAATTCAACACTGTAAATAATTACATTAAATGTAAATGAACTAAATATTCCAATTAAATGGCAGAGATTGTCAGACTGGATAAAAAAGCTGGACCCAAGTTGTGATTTTACAAGGGCCATACTTTAAATGAAGACACAGTAGGTTGAAATTAAAAGGATTAGTGTTACATGACTAAATATAAAAAAGTTGGAATGACAGTATTATCAGAGAAAAAAGTCTTCAAGACAAGTATTACTGGATAAAAAGAGCGATATCGCTTAATAATATAAAGCGACAATATCATGATTATCAATGTTTATGTTTCTAATAAGAGTTTTAAAATACATGAAGCAAAAAGTAACAGATCTTAAAAACACATAAATCCATGTGGATGGCAATTTTAGCAATCCTCTCTCAGGAACGGACAGAATAGGCAGACAAATCAGCAAGGGTACAGGTGTGACAACACCTGCCTTGATGCCGACAACTGCCTTAACCGAATGGTAGAGCTGGAAATATTTCAAGCTGACTGATAACAAAAATGCAGCACACGAAAATTTGTAAGTGCAGTGAAAACAAAACTTACAGGAACATGTATAGCTTTAAATATTTATACTAGAAAGGAAAAAAGACTTCAAATGATTCTAAGGTACGATTTTAAGAAGCTAGGAAAAAACCCCAAACAACAGAGCAAGTGCTGTTCACAACCACACCAAGTATTTGGGGGCCAGCAAGCAATGTGGGAACACTTTGAGTGCTAACAGGATAGTGTGTCACTTACATGCAGGCCTTTCATTATGTGTTAATTGCATTTTAGGAAACAGTTTGTAGGCTTGGAAATGGTACAGAATGCATTCTCATAGTTTTCTATTTAAAATAATGGGAAATAGATCCCTAGTTAGTGTTTTAGCATGAAACAATGCGTTTTTAGAATGGATTATTGATGTTAAGTGGGTGATAGCCTATAACTAGAAAAACAATTTTAGAGAGTGATAAAAACTTAAACACTTCTAAGTTAAATATTAAATATTTGTATGTTAAGAAACACTCTCCCACCAAAAAGACAAGAAATAAAAAAGGTATTGACAAGGATGTGCAGAGAGAGAAAATACTTGTGTTGTTGGTGGGAATGTAAATTGGTACAACCACTATGGAAAACAGTATGGTTTTCTTAAAAATCTAGAACCACCATCTGATCCAACAGTTCTACTTCTAGGTATTTATCTGAAGGAAACAAAAACACTAATTCAAAGACATATGCACTTCAAGTTCACTGCAGCATTATTCACAATAGCCGGGACACGGAAAGAACTTGAGTGCCTAAAAAAGTCAGCCATAAAAAAGGAAGCCCTGCTATTCGTAAAAACACGGACAAACCTGGAGGGCATCATGCTAAGTGAAATAAGGCAGAAAAAGACAAATCACTGCTGAAACAAAATCAACAACAAAAAATCGAGCTCATAGGTACAGAAAATAGACTGGGGATTGCTAGAGTCAGGGGTTGGGGGGTATGTGAAGTTTATCAAAAGTTATAAATTTTCGGTTATAAAATAATGTACAGCATGGTGACTATGGTCAACAATGCTGTTATATAAAAGTTGCTGAGAGCTTAAAAGTTCTCATAAGAAAAAAAGTAACTGTGATGATGGAATGTTAACTGGATTTGTTGTGATTATTTTGAAATATGTACAAATATCGAATCCTCATGTTGTATACCTGAAACTAATATATGTCAATTATATCTCAATAAAAAGAGAAAAAAATCCCTTTCCCCTAGAAACCTTTGGAATGGAGGGAAAAGCATTAGCTGCCTAGAAGCCAATGAAAGGGAAAGACAACAACCCAGGAAGAAAGAACGAACACACTGGTCAAGCAGGTCATGTACGGGGGGCGGGGGGTGGGTGGGAATGAATTTGGTTTAGATTATCTGCAGCCGCAGGTAACCGCAGAGTGATGCCTGCAGGTCCCGAGGGAGACACGGCTGCACAGGACCCCACACCAGACACTACCCAGATGCATACATTTACAAAGTCCACATCCATGAATCTTTTTTGCAAAAATTACTAGATCATAAAATCCATCCTGAAAATGGAGGAGAGAAAATAAGAATAAGCAGCGGGGAAGGGATTGGGCGTGAGGCATTAGTCACTTTTTACACAATCAAAACTCATTAGTTGTGTAAACTGCGGAACAAAATGTTACTTAATCATGATAATTCTTGAAGAAAATTTGGTAAGTGCGGGGGGGCAAGGAAGAATGTGTGATTTTATGTCATATTCTACAGTAAGGAGTCCATAGACTACAATGGGAAGTAGTAAAGTTTAAAAAAAATCAGCAATACTCCAGCCTCAACATTTTAATATTTTTCTTAATTTTATAGGAATATTTTATGAACTAGTATTCCTTGTAATGGAAAATACTTGGCCACAGTGCAGCACTTTTTTTGGTTTGACTCCTTTTTTACTGTTGTCTCCAGGAAAAGCGCCTTTGCCATGGAACATCATTTTCACTTTAAAGAATAACAAACCAGTTGTTTAGGTTTGGGTCTGTGGCAGGCATTTCTTTGAAAGTAAAGTGAGACTGTCAGTCAGTTCAAGAAGAAAACACCCAGTATATTTTTTAAAAATAGCTTTTATTTTGAAATAGTTCAAATCTCACAAGAAGTTGCAAAAATAGTAGTGAGTGTTTCATGTACTGTTCACCCAACTTACCCCAGTGATAATCTTACATTGCGACGGTACTTGTCAAAACCAGGCAAATAATATCGGTACAATTCTGTCAACTCGGGTGAAGACATTAATAGGGTTTCAGGCATTTATTTTTTCTTCACATACCCTTTAGAAGCTATCAATTGTCTAGTTTTAGTACAGTATCAAAAAAGAATATCCACCATGATCAGAAAAAAGGATATTAAAATACTCTGTTTTTCAACTACATATCTGTGTGACTAGTTCAACCAAACACACGTATAGCAACAGACTGAATGCAGGATCCAATCTTCTTGAATTAAACCAAAGATTAAAGAGATTTGCAAAAATGTAAAACAATTCCATTCTTGCTAAATATTTTTAGAAATCAATTGCTTTTCCTAATGTTGTAACATGCAATGGGCTTGTATCTTTATTTCTAAATGACTAATATTTTTGAAATGTCTTAGTTTTAATTTCAAATGCCATAAATGCTGACAGACGTAACCCACATAAACCACATCTTCTTGGGACCCTCAGTGGTCTCCAGGGTGGTAAGGGGTCTGAGCTCTGCAAGGTAAATTCTGGCAGCAGACGGCCCCTCCCACAGCCCCTGGGCTCTCTGAAGTTCACACACATGACAGATCTGGAATCTTTTTATTCTAGTTAAACACGTATTTGGGTCATATCATAACTTACCCAGAGGAAATTAAAAGTTCAGAAGTTTCTAGGGTGATTGTCAACAGGGGAATATGACTCAAACTGAGTATTTTATTATTAAGTCACTTGCTATTTAATCTAAATTCAAGTACAGTAAAGAAACTTAAGCTATTCATTAACCTTATAGAATTCACATCTTTTTAAAAGAATGATCTTGCATTTAAACAGACTTTTTCATTACTCAAATCCATTTATAACATATTTTAAAAATATATTATTTTTTCAGTTTCTTAATAGTTTAGGTAAGAGTCTGTGTTGGTTTGATCCATGGCTGTGAAGAATACACAGAGAGCAGCTGTGATAAGTAGATGCATTCCCTCATAGAGAAGTTTCGGAGAAAACACACTCCATATAAATAAATGGTAACGCAGGGATGTCACCAAAACGATGTATGCAGAAACCGGAAAAGAACAGATCAGCGCATAACAGAAGCCAGCACGACTCAGTGCCGAACTGTTAATGAGAAGGGAACTGTATTAGCATATGCCACTTCCGTATCATGTAAGCCACAAGCTGTAAGTGACACTTTTATTTTGAAAACGACTATGCTGTCTTATTCATGCTTCCCCACCCCTCCCACATCTGGACCCGGTCAGCCTGGCAGGTAGGCCTGCATTTCCTGATGGCACTCAGGCCTGAGGGGACAACAGGCTGTAGGCAGGCACTCTCCGTCTCTCCAGTGCTACCACATCAGCAAACAGTTTTGAAAAATGCACCCCCAAATTCTGTGTAGTCATTTATAAAGTATATGCATCTACTGCTGCTCTAAAACATCACACATATTATAAAATGTACACAATGAAAGTAAGATCACACCAGCTGAGGTACAAGTTCTGGGCTCTTTGGGCTGTGCAGTGTCTGGCTCGTAGGGTCTGGGCTGGAGACACTGGCCCAAGAGTGTTTGCAAAGCAAATTAAGTGAAGAAAAGAGCCTTCCTGAAATAGGAGCAACTCCTCAAAGCTCATGAATGTCCTCTCTTTGTTGTCAAATCATATATCCAATCATAACATAAATCTAACCTACTCTTTAAGGCAACTTCTTGACACTGTGGTTTTCTCAAAACAACCAGTTCCACCCTCTGGGCATCTTCCCCCTCGCTCACCCCAAGAACCCTTGCGGGTCGAGCTTCCTGGGCTCTGAGGCCACCCCTCAGACACTGACGATCTCCAGTGATGTGGCGTCTGTGTTCCGGCCACACCGCCCATCACCGCTGCCCACTGCTCCTCTGCCATGCATGCAGCCATCTTAAGATACTGACTGTGCATGTACTCATGTCCATGGCCACACGTAGGACGTGGACCTGGGGTCACTGGAGTTCCAGGCAGGAAGCAAGCACACCCACTGGAGTGAGGGGTGTGCCCAGGGAAGTCTTAGGGTGCCACGCTCATGCTGGAAGGGGTCTGGATGTGAACAGCAAGTGATGTGGAGCTTAGCGTCAGGGCAGCAAGGCTCAGGGTGGAGCAGTGAATGTACGTGAGCGTGCATGGTGTACTTGCACACATGTGCTCTATGAGGGGCTCTGTTAGCCAGCCACCACTACTGGGGCCACTCTAAACTGCTGACGTTGACTGCTGTCCAGCAGAGGGCCAGCAACAAAGCGTGCACCTGTGGAGGACACCCTTGTCCTCAGGAAGCCTACAGCCAGCTGGGGAAATGAGATTCTCACACTGGAGATTCCCAAGGCAACCAAGGCAACCGAGAGAGCAGAGCGCAGGCTGGGTGCTACGTGGGGCCAGGTCTCCAGAGCAGGAAGCCTGCTCTCCACGGCTGGGCCCTTCACTGGGCTTTCCTGTGCTAAGGTCTGGCTTGACAGTCTCGCCAAGCTCACACCAGGCTCCCCTTCGCCCCTTACGTAAATGCAGAGTGAGATGGTAGGCTGTGGACGTGAACTTGGGGACAGAAGCCGAGGGGGAGTGGACCTAGGGTGGTACCAGGGAAGGAAGCTAAAAAATGGGGAGTGCTGCTGGCTAGCCCTGGGCGTTTCTCCATGGTGCCAACAGTTGCCACAGTGAGGGTTGCATTTTTAAAGGGGGCAGAGAATTGGGGGTCCAGAGGGGCACAAGGACAGGAAGGGTCAACCTCCCCCTGGTGACACCGCAGGAGGACGGGATCCACAGCAGGACGTTCAGCAGAAATAGCGCCCCCTTGGGGCTCCCCTGATCGGCTGTGGTGGAGCCCAGAGTGGAGAGGGAAGGCCGTGCCCACGGGTCACAGGTGTAGCTGGGAGCAGCGAGTCGTAGCCGAGGGGCGGTGTGCAGGGAGCCCTGACAGAAGCCGCATGGCCTCTCCGCGTGCAGTTCCCATGTGGGACCCCTCACCAACGCCCCAGGTGACAGGTGGGAAAGATGGACTCATCTGGGAGGTTCAGAACCAGGCAGCCCACACACCACTCGGGCTGCACTCTGCCAGGCTGGGCCCAGATCCTGCAGCTGCTGTGGTGCAGAGACCATGACACCCCCTTTCCGAGGGGGCAATGCACAAACACAAGTAAGTCTGGGGTGTGAGGAGGTGAGAAGGCTGAGAAAACTAGTGGGGACGGGAGTGTGAGGGGGAGGAGGGTGGGAGAGGGGCCTTCAGGGCTGGCCAGAGGGGCACAGCCCTGCGGAGCTCGAGGGGCTCCTCAGCAGCAGGGTCCCACACAGACCTGAGCTTGCTCCCACCTCTGGCCAAGTGCCGCGGGCTATTCCCTCTCACGTAAGGAAAAGAAAACCCGTGAGGACGGCATGGGCCCCCGGGGTCTGGACAGCCCGCCCTGGAACAAGGTACACTGCTCTTCCAAACCATCAACGTGCACCAGGTTTTGTCCTGGAAGACAGAGGAGGAGCTTCACCTGCTGGTTTCTGAACTCAGGAACGTCACCAGGTGGCTGGCCCACAGCACAGGCCCCGTATATGTAGCAAATGCCGTCAGGAACATGGCTGGAATCTCCATGTAGGTGTCCAGGCCCACAAAGCCTGCTGAGATGTCCACTGTGGCGATATTATTGGAGTTTCCCTGGAACACAGGGAGAAACAGCCCTGACACAGCCAGTCTCGCATGGCCACCAGCAACTGCGAGAAACCACATCTGGCCATGGTCAAGGTGCCACGGGCACACAGGAGCCCCAGCCCCTGCCCCCTCCTGGCGCTGGGGCTGACCCTGGACAGGCTCTCTCGCCCTGCCCGCCTCACTCCTCGGAGGGGAGGAGCAAGTGAGGTATCTTTCACCTTGGAGAAGCTACACAAACCCCTACCTGCTGATGCACAGTGGCAGGTTCCAAACTCCCCCGATCAATGCATTTCAGACACTGGCCTCCCCCCTCAGGGACCCTGTCCAAGGGCTGCACACAGCCATGGGAGGCCAAGTGGCCAAGGGGCATGCACTGGAAGCCGAAGGCGGTCTTCCACACGGCCCAGTCAATGGGTGGCTGCTGGGAGGACTCTGCCGCTTGGTGTCAGACCCAAGGTCTCGTTGGTTACTGCCCCAGACTGGCAGGTGACTCATGGCCACACAGCTTGTCCCTTGTCCTGCACCAGGGGTGGGGCCTTTGATCCATGAAGGGTCTCCTGAGACTCAGCCCCTCTCGCCACTTCAGTCTTTATTGATCTGGTGACCTTCCCCCAACTTGGGCCATGAACAAAAGTCCACTGCTGCCTAGCCCAGGCCCTTGCCCAGCACTGTTTCTCTGATGGCCCTGGACACGGCTCTGGCTGGGTGTTCACGGCTCCACAGGTGACCTCACAGCCTCTGACCTCCCAGGGACACGTGCACTGCTGTCCTTCCTCTGCTCCCACGGCCACCCTGACTGCAACTCACGGGGCGCTTGCCCTCATGCCCTCTGCCCACGGCTGCAGGGGCTCTCCCCGCTACGAGATTCCTGTTTAGAAGCCCCTCTCTGGAGACTGAGGACGACCCAGAGCCGCGGGAGCAGCAAGACGGGAAGGACACGTGCTCCAGTGAGGGGCGGTGTGTGAGGATGGAAAACCGGTCTGACGCCTGGGAGGTCACGGCAGCTCAGACACGGGCCACCTGCCCTGGGGCCTCACTTGCATCAGCTCATTTCATCCTCAGGGTCTTGACATGGTGCCGCTGTGATCCTCAGTGTACAGGTGGGAAACAGAGGCAGAGACCCAGGGACCAAGAGGGCCAGCTGGTGCTAGCTGGGCACCAAGTTCCTGACCTCAGACCATCAGGGAGCTTCCATGATGAGGGAAGAAGGGGTAGGAAATCTGCCAGGGAGAGAAGCAGAGAGGCAACCAGAGGGGAGGCCGCAGGGGGCAAGGGGATGCGGGGGTGGGGGAGATGCCGTAGGGGGATGGGAGACCTGCTCTGCCCCCGCTAGGTGCTGCCTTTGCTCGTGATGGTCCCCTAGTGCGTATAACAGTGCCCACTGCAGGAACACCAGGCTGGGGACATGTGTGGTCTGACTGCCCTCATGTGGGGGCATAACTGGCTCTGTCAGTCTTTCTAACACCAAGGCCTCAGTGCAGGGCCCAGTGGCCTGCCCAGCAGCTGCCGTCTCTGTTCAGCTCGGCAGGAGCCTTCTGGACCTCACCGGCAGGGTCTGCCATGCTGTCAGTCTACAAACACCAGGTCACATCCAGGGACTGGCGACTGGGTGGGTGCTGCCAGGATCGCTCCCACGCAGAGCTATGGCTGTCCACGTGTCTCTGGGCAGCAGTGTCTCCACTCATCAGATGTGCTCCTCTCACGTGCAGCCTGAGGAGGCTGGAGATGGGAGAGGGATGGGGCAACTTTCCATGGTGACATGCTCCCATTCCCCAGCAAGCCACCGTCGTCAGAGACCGAGTGACACTGTTAGGCCTCCATGGGAGGCAAGCACCAGGCACGGGCCTGTGCACGACTTCCAGGTAAGGGGGAACAGACGCACGTGGGCCGTTTGGAAGTTTCTGAGGTGCTCTAGAGAACTCAGGTAGTCCTGTGGCTGTCCCTCGGACATGCCAGAGAAGGGCCTCCGCGGGCGCGCCGATTCACACGAGGCAAGGGTGAATCTCACACCGCAGACATGTGTGGTCTGACTGCCCTCATGTGGGGGCATAACTGGCTCTGTCAGTCTTTCTAACACCAAGGCCTCAGTGCAGGGCCCAGTGGCCTGCCCAGCAGCTGCCGTCTCTGTTCAGCTCGGCAGGAGCCTTCTGGACCTCACCGGCAGGGTCTGCCATGCTGTCAGTCTACAAACACCAGGTCACATCCAGGGAGGCGACTGGGTGGGTGCTGCCAGGATCGCTCCCACGCAGAGCTATGGCTGTCCACGTGTCTCTGGGCAGCAGTGTCTCCACTCATCAGATGTGCTCCTCTCACGTGCAGCCTGAGGAGGCTGGAGATGGGAGAGGGATGGGGCAACTTTCCATGGTGACATGCTCCCATTCCCCAGCAAGCCACCGTCGTCAGAGACCGAGTGACACTGTTAGGCCTCCATGGGAGGCAAGCACCAGGCACGGGCCTGTGCACGACTTCCAGGTAAGGGGGAACAGACGCACGTGGGCCGTTTGGAAGTTTCTGAGGTGCTCTAGAGAACTCAGGTAGTCCTGTGGCTGTCCCTCGGACATGCCAGAGAAGGGCCTCCGCGGGCGCGCCGATTCACACGAGGCAAGGGTGAATCTCACACCGCAGACTGCCCATCCCTCCCGCCTCTCCGGGCCTCAAGGAGCCATGTTTACACGAGTTCCTCATTTTCTTCCCGTCCCCAGCTGGCGCCCGGGAATCCCTGGGCAACCCTGCTTCCACAGCGCCTTCACGGTTTTCCTGATGGGTATGAAACAGCTGAGGCCTCCGGCATACAGACGCTCGATCCCAGCAGGACACACGGAAAATGGAGACGTCACGAGGCCCTCTGAGGTCAGCTGTGCAGTCTGGGCGGACCGGTGCTCCCTTCCCCAGGCCGGGTGCCATCTCAGTGTGGCCCCCAGTCACCCGGCACCTTCTGTGATAGGCAGTGCCTCCTTGTCTGGCTCAGACTCCAGGACCCAGCTCTGCCTTCTCTGCTGGGTCCTGGTGAATCTGGCAGGTGCCAAGTGCTTACTACACCACAGGCCAGCTCCTGTTTCTCATGCCAATTTAATCCTTACAACTGAGGACGAGGTGAACTGTTTATGACTCCATTTTACAGATGAGGAAACGGAGGCAATGGCAGGGACCTTCCAGAGACCACCTAGCTTGGAGAAGCCAGACGCCAGCGTTGGGATGAAACCCCCTGCAGTTCTGCCGGGGCTGCCACTCTGGAAGCCACATAAGTGTACACACGGGATCCTATTGGGCACGGTGACAGCTGGAAGAAAGGAGGGCTGGAGGGTCAGGGGGCACGCACAGGGCTGGTCCTGGCCAATCCACAGCCCCCCATGACTCAGAGGTTTCTAGAACTTGACTCCCCAGCCCCTCCTGGGCTTTAGGGAACAGGGAGAAAAGCACTGTGACCGTGGGCTGCTCTGTGGGAAAGGCTGGGCACAGCAGGAGCCAGGAGAGAGGCGGCACTGGGAAAGAAGCCCCAGACTGCACAGTTGGGACACAGAACCAGACAGATCGCTGGGACCTGAATGGAGGAAGAGGGAGGAGCCAGTGCTCTTGGAGGAAATACCTCACTGTCAAGACGGGGAAGCACGACTGAGGCATTCAGTAGCTTGCGCAAAGTTCCTTAGCCAGGGAGTGCAGGGGCCAGAGGGGAACGCCAGCAAGCTGTGTCCCACCCTCGCAAGTACCAGCCGGCAGCGACCAGGTTGAGGGCAGGGTTATCTGACCTGGGGTGGCAACACCGGGGTGGAGCCGGACCCTCTGCCCACCTGCCTAGGGGCTGTTCCAGGTATGCAGGTGTATAATGAGGCCTGTCCTGGCGGTGGCTTGGAGGCAAGTCCCTCCAGCACTGGGGAGCAGGCAAGATAATGACCCAGCCCCAAGGGGTTAATAGCCAAGTGGGGACAGCCGTCTGTGCCCGGTGCTAAGAGCCAGGGGACGGACAGCGGTTCTTGTCCTCACCAGGTGGAATGGGAAGGTGTGCTGTGCTTCCCGAGCTGCCTGTGGTGGGCAGATGCAGCACAGCTTCAAGCTCTCAGGGGTCCATGCCAAGGATGCCTGACTTAAGTGACTAATTGCATCTGATTTCATTGCGAGCTTCAGGCATGATTCACCACGCCATACTGCAAGCTCTTTCACTGAGCAAACACAACTTCCCAATTTACAGTCAAATTTTCTCAAAGAAAGACTAAGCGATAAATGACAAATAAAAAGTTAATACAGTCTTCTACACATGATGATAATGAAAACCTACCTGAAAATAGAAGAATGCTTGACCGAACCAGTAATGCATCACAGTGACCTCAGCCGCACCGTGCCGCAGGGGCTTCCAGATGAACTTCGTCATCATGGTCTGGATCAAGAGGCTACACACTAAGACCGGAAGATTATGTGGCCTAAACAGCAGAGCGGCCAGAAGCACTAATCCACTGTGTACCTCCCAGGAACCCACAGTCTTGGCTGTGAAGCCTGCAGTGATGACCTGGGATTTAAGCAAGTCCTTGGTGCCCAGGAACAGAATGCCAAGGACAAAAGCATGGACGAGACGAGCCTCAGTGACACCCCTGGGAAACCAGAAGAAGTTTAATTAGCATCATCTAGAAAAATTCAAATACATATTTTCCCAAGAAGACCATGTGTCTGCTTAGCTGACTAAACAAGCCACAGCACCTGCCTCATAGCCCTGTGGACGTGGGCGTCTGCCTCTACCAGCAGCCCCGCAAAGCTCCTGTGATATAATGGGTTACAATAAATACTTATTTGGTCATTCATACGACCAAATATATATTTCCCAGGTATATCTGGTCTTCATCACAGCTCCTGAAAACACTAGTCTTAAAGGTGAAATGGGTATTGTGTCACACTAGTGAGACTTTTGGACCCCCACCCAAGGGCTGCTGGAGGTTGGACAATGGCCGATAGTTTAGTCAATCATGACTCTGCAATGACGCCCTCACAAGAACCCATGGGAAGAGCTTTCTGCTCACTCTCTGCTCGGCCTGCTCTGCTCGGCTGGATCCTGCTTCTTGGTCGGAGAGGGCTTCTACGCCTGGGGAACCAGAGCGCCCCCACGTGCCACCAAGCCAGGCCCCACGCCCCCCAAGGACAGAGACTCCTTCATCTGGGACCTTGCCCTGTCTCTCTTCATCTGGCTGTTAATGCGTATCCTTTATTCAACTGGTAAACGTAACGTGTTTTCCTGAGCTCTGTGAGCGGCTCTAGCAAATTAATCAAACCTAAGTGGGAGGTCGTGGGAACCTCCAATCTGTAGCCAGTAGGTCAGAAGCACAGGGAACTGCCTGGGGCTTGCGACTGGCAACTGGAGTCGGGGGTGGAGGGCAGTCCTGTAGGACGGAGCCCTTAGCCTGGGAATCTGGTGCTGTCTCCGGGCAGATAGCATCGGAATTGAGTTCTTGGACACCCTGCTGGGTGTTCAAGAATTGCTTGGTGTAAATATGTGTCGGGGAGACCCCCTCCCACATACTTACATACAATGGAATTGGGTCTGGGTACCCGAATGGAGTTACACTACTGTCACTGCTGTGTATGATGCTGTTACTGTTACACAGACATGCGGGGAGGAAATACATCATTGCATGTGGTGGCAGAGGTATGAGAGCTCCCTGCCCAGCAGCTCTGTGTGCACCTCATCGATGCAGCTGGATTGCAGGAAACCTTGCCCCTTTGCCTGAAGGATCACTTGGGTGCAAGACAGGAGCCATGACTTATAGTATGTCTGAAAAGCTGTCCATCTGCTTTGCAGTTAATCTGAAACAAGCGCAGCCAAGCTCTGCCAGGAACTCCCATAAGTGCACAGATGTGAACATGCTAAGAACCAAGCAGATTTAAGTAAATACTTGCATACTCCCACACATGCAATGGTGCAGTCCATGCTGTGGGGTCTGGGGAAAGGCAGGGCCACGTTAGTCTTGGGCTCCGCCATTCACTAGCTCAGTTCTTGGGGAAAATAAATAAAAAATAAAAAAAAAAAAATAAATAATTAAAAAAAAAAGAAAAAAAGAAACAAAAACTCATAAGGCTGTCCTGGGAATTAAACAAGAGAATGCACATAAAGTGTTTGGCACACAGGAAATAAGTACTATTATGAGTTATTTAAGTGCTTCATTTGCTGCCATCCGTAAAGTATGCAATTTATGACAAACCAAAGAATTTATGAAAACATATATTCTGAAAACCTTTTAAATAAATTTCATAAATCAAATCTCTAGAAAAGCTGATCATTTAAAGTAATGCTAAGTAAATAAAGTTTTAAGTGAAATAATCACCATAATAATGTATGTTTTGAAAAGCTTCATTTTCCTGTCTCAGATTTTCTCAGGAAGGTTTGTAACTTTTAACAAAATTCATTCTTTTTAGTATGATCAGTGTAACTCAAACAGTCAGAGCAATGTGTGCTGTGTGCCTGACAGCGTGGGAAGGCCAACGACTGGCTTGAAGTCTGCCACAGGACCAGGAACTTGCCAAGGAGCCAGGGTCGGGTGTAACCCCGACCCACAGGCCAAGACGCGTCTTGACTGAGAGCTGGTAGTGGGCCCACAGGACTAAGGAGGAGAAGTCATCGGAGGCCTGAGCAAAGTTTCCAAGAAGGGCTCACTGCATAGAGCGACCAGGGCAGGCTGGATGGGGACGGGGAGGGGGCGCCCCCGCCGGGTGCGGTCGCTGCGCCTCCCTGCCCTCAGCAGTCAGTGCTGGCCTTCCACTCTGGTGAAGCCTGGGCTTCCGAGCGGAGAAGAAAGCCAGGAGTTACATGTAAAGGAGGATGTTAGCAGCGCCCGGCGGACTGAAAGAGCAGCAGTAGGGCGATCTAGCATTAAGGCAGCTCTGGAACCAGGGCGGGTCTAGAACCAGGATGGATCTGGAAACAGGACAGATGGGAGCAGGAAACGGAAGCACTTCACAGGAATAATGTGGACCAAGCGGTGCAGGTTCCTCAACAGATGAAACTTTGATTTATGAATAGAAGGTTCATGCTGTTGTATCCATGGAAATGAAGTACAAGGTCCAAGCCCTGAACTTGGCGATGGTGATATTAGGTTCATTGGCCTGAGAGGAATGGGGAATTTATTCACGTATCACATTTTGAGATTTAAACAAACATCCCTGTGTCAAACACCCTCCAATGTGACACCCAGCCTTGACAGCTGCCCAGAGTCTCAGAGGTCAAGGGGGGCCTTCGAGGGGTCTCTACCCACCCCCTCCCCACCTGACCTCCCTGCTGTCACTCACCCTGACCCCCCACACCTGGTTGGTAGGCCTGCCACCAGGTGTGCCCCCCAACCCCCCTGGCCACCCACTAGGTGGCCTAGCTGGAGCCCTCAGCTTTCACTTCGACTTTTGGGAGAAGATTCTCTGATTAGAAGAAAAGCACTACAAAAATCAGTGAAAGTGAAGAACACAGTCCACTTATGATCCCTGGGTCTAAACATAATCACGGCTAATTTTATATTTAAATGTTTCATGTAAACATGAAAAGATATGTGCACACTTCCTAAGTTGGGCTCATGTGGCAGTTTTGCAGCCTATGGTCCACATCTTCCTATGTCCTGTGGAAACACACTGCTTACTTAGCTGTTCAGCGGATTCCAGTGCAGAGCTCTGGTGTAACTCCAAGGCTTATTTTACTACTGCTGGCCAGCTGGCTTGCTTTTCACTACGTGCAACTGCAAATAATGCTTCAGAGAGCGTGCCTGTATCCCAGTTTTGGGCCTCGCCTCTGGCTGTACTACTGTCGTAAAGTCTGTAAGAGGACGCCCGGGTCAGGGCGCTGGACGTGCTCCATGTCCTCCACACGCTTTCAAACTTCCTCCAGATGGTCTCTACTCACACCACCTCCATTCACCATCTAGTACAGAGGAGCTGCCACCCTGGCATGCAGAAAGGGCCATTCATGAATCAACCAGGACTCACCCGTCACAGGGGCTCACTGTAGATTATGGGATAGTTTCTCGGCTCGCTTCCTTCCCCACTGCTAGGATGACCCCGTTGTTATGCTCATGTTGAGTTACTTCTTGAGTGAGTACAACCAAATCCTTGAGATTCTTTAAAAGAATCCCTTATTAAAAGCTCAATGACCTTACTCCCAAGCTAGTCGTCTCTCTCCTACCAAAAAGAGGGGGCTAACAGAGTCAGCACATTGAGGCCCCAGTGACCGATGAAATCACAACCCACAAAAACCAACTCCAGTTGCACATCATTCTTAGCACAGAAAACAGTGTATTAGATCTAAAAACACATCCTCACGTCTGCCAGCACACTTACTTTGAAACGTCTTTGTTGTCTTGTTGCCATGGGAACAGCACATTTCCAATGGCCGCCCTGTAGCAATAGACGCCCAGCAGGCCAAGTGCCAAGGCTAATTTCGAAGTCAGGGAGCACCTCCTCTGAACCAATGCGAAGGTCATGGCGAGGGACAGGGCGGCCAGGACAGAGAGCTCGGTTTTATGATCGGAGCTGAAATGAAACGGAAAATGCCAAAACCTCTAACAAGGACAACCGGTGACACTACTACAAAAAATAGCTGGTTTTTCTGAAAAGCAAAAAAAGAAGAGAAAATTGTTCGCTATTTCAATTTAAAGAAAGGTTCTCAAAATGTAGCGAATAAAGAACCGTTAACTTGAACTCTCATTTCTTATTCACAGGTGGTTCCCACCATCAGCTGCTCTGCACTAGCCTAGGCAGTGACCTATGTAACTCTGTCCATTGGCCCCCTGGGTGCCTCATTCTGGGACACCCCCTTTCCCAAGCCCAGGTGAAGAGGGTCCTGGCAAGCCTGCCAGCGTATATGCTCCGCTCAAGGGAGACAGGCTCATCCCAGTGGGATCCTTCTGCCCCCTCGTTCACGCAGGCTGAGGCTGACTCCGGAACGTCCGTCCCACTCCCAGGTGGGGAGACTGCAGAGTGCGAGCTGCGAGCACACAGCCGTCACAGGGCAGAGTAGGCCCCCTCTTCCTGCGTGGCCCTGGCCCACCAGGCCCTGCTACCTCGGCGGGCACTTTTTTGGGAAGGAAGGGGCTCTTTTGTGCGTTATTCACCACAGGCTACACGCACAAAGCTAAGACACTCAGTAGTTGTTAAGTGGGTAACTGTTCTGCCAAGGTGTACATACGTGCAAAAACTACTTGAAAAGATGCGGCCAGTGTCAGGACGTGGGCCCCAGGAACGGCAGGTAGCAGTGGGGCCATGTGGGGGCCTGGCACTGCCGTGGCCCTTGCTCTGGGAGGTGGTCACGCGGGTGTCCATTCCGTTACTCTGTACATTGTACATACCCTCCTGCACTGTTAGCTGTCACAACTGACAGAGCCATAGAGTAGGCGACTGTGGGCGCCTCTCGGGGTGCTCTGCTGTGGAGGGGTGGGTGACGCTGTGGCTTCCTTACAAACCGACAGGAATAGCTGGGCAGTGCAGGCAAAACCTGAGATGCAGGAGGGGGGCACCCTGCGGTGGAAGGGGCTCGGTCCGGACCGAGAGGTGGGCACAGCTATGCCCTAGGTGGGAGCAGGGCCGGGGGGCATGCATCCGGGGGCAGAAACCAGCCAACTTCCCTGCAGTGCGCGTTTTCCAGAACAGTCAGAAGCGAGGCCGTGGTGCCAGCTCCCACGCGCTCTGGGCTCGGGCCTCACTTCCCTCCGCCTCCTCGCCCCACGCAGCACAGCCAGTGTCCTCTTCAGGCTCGTAGAGAAGAGAAAATGAGTGGGCCCAGAGCAGGCGCCCGAAAAATGCCACCTGTGGTCACTGTGGCTGTGAGGGTCTGCTGAAACAGTTAACACTTGGGAGAAATTTCTCACAAGAAGTACTGGCCAGAGAATAGACGATTTCATAGCCTTTGAAGTTATCCCTCGGCATCTTCCCAAAGGGGTATTCGGGGTGTGGAGGCAGGGCCCCGTGGCACCTGCCAACACGGGGTTTAATCCCTTCCTCTGTGTCTCAGTCCGGACCAGGCCCCTTCCACGGCAGGGCGCCCCCTCCTGCATCCCGGGTACAGAGACAACACCATCACGTGGCCCTCGGCGCCCCAGCCAGCAGGGGCGGGCATTTCCCATGCCTCCCGACGACTTTCCTCTTCAGGAATGTGTCTGTTACTATCCTGAGCTCTGCTTCCTGCTGGCGGTTTTTACGGAAGTTCTTTACAGAGACCCGACCTCGGTTTACAGCACGCTTGGGAAACATGTTTCATTTGCTTTAGTTTCTAAGTCTTCACTGACAGAATTAAAATTCACAATGGAGCCAAATCTTGATGTCTGTTCTGGTTGTCTCTCTGCTGCAATCCTTTGTCTGCTACATTTCTAGCTAGGTTTTCCAGCCTCAGAAGAGGCTTCGGAGGTGTTGAAGTCTCACCCACAGAACTTCAGGGGCTAAAAGGGAGGACCTGGGAGAACAGAGGGTGCACCCGGGGCAGAACCACCCCAGAGAGCTCTTCCCAGGTCCCACCTGGCCCCGCCCTGTCTGCAAGGACAAAACTACATCTTTGCTGCAATTAACATTTTTAGACTCACAGGTTTTTCCATCTCTTCAGATCTCAAATACCATTTCTGTCCAGAATATGAAAAACAGGCCTAAACGTTGAAAATGCTCTGCATGTGGCCAGTCAGCTATGGAAGGTCTGGCCAAAGGCCGCAGCCCGTCTCTCACCTGGTGAGCCAGTGCCCCAGGTCCGGCCGGTGGGCCCACTGTACACCCGTCTGATTCAGTGACCGCAGCAGCCGGCAGCAGGCGAGTACCAACCACGGGCTCGCTATCACCATCCACTTTTCACCGCCTTGGAGCGTGCCAAGGGAGGAGGGGCGCTTAGTCACTCTGCCCAGCTCTGGCACGTCACAGCTGGCGTTCTTGTCCTGCAAGGTGGGGGCGGCGCCGTCAAATCCTTCTTCCACGTGTAAGCAATGCTGAGGCTCACAGTCGTCTCCCAGAAAGCAGTTTCTGCAGATTTCATGACACAGAGCTAGACACAGGGTGTTAACAAGGAAGTACCAGGTCTGGTGCTCCTCCTCAATGAAGCTGCTGGCACCCAGACTTAACACGTGGCCCACAGTCCCCAAAAGGATAAGAAGATCTAACTCCGACCACCGTGAGTTGGAATGAGCTGGATTCTATAAAAATGTAAATATATTTTGTAAGTGAAAAATTTGAACATTACATATATCTTGCTGCATGTACTTAAAAGTTCTTGCTCACAGAACATAACTCACTATGACAGACACCTGCTGTTCCTCATGCCCAACACCCACGCCCCTGGCTTTGGTGGGGTAACCTGCCCTCCTGGGGTGCAGCTAGGGGGTCACAGAAATAGCGCAGGCACTCCTCACCCGCCTTGTGCTGCGGGTCCTAAGCTGAGTGACAGAGATGCTGAAGATGTTTAGGCCCCAACCATCTCTGCAAGGTGCTCACCCATCAGATTCTGGACGCAGCCCTCCGCACACCCTGGCCCGCTCGGAGCCTGCGTTTTCAGGGGCCGTGGCCAGTTCCTGCTACTTGACACCACAGAGCTCCATGGTACTCCACCAAGCCAAACCTCTAATTTCTTTATGAGTTCTCTAGAAATCCAGAAAGTTTCCACTAAAATGGTCAATTTTATTGAAATGAATGAGGGCTCAATTACTCTCATTAGACAGTTCCTCGATATCTTTTCTGTCTGTGTGTGGCATACAAACGAAAGCCATCCCATGAACCGAACGAGGAGCTGGGGAATCACGTGGCTCTGGGGAAACCTCTGCTCTGATGGGGGAGAGAAACGTGTCAGAAATGGCGACACGGGGGCTCCGCAGACACAGGTGCCCGGAGAAGGGCACGGAGTCACCGCGCTGGGCCCTTGGGCTCCGGGTGCTGACTGTGGCCGCACACCTCCTCCTCCTCGCAGCCCTGCCGTCATGACTGAGCACTGAATGAAGGTGTCAGAGGCCAAAGGCTCTAAGAATTCTAAAGGAAAAAGGCAGTCTTAAAAAGAAAACTGCCCCTTATGGGGCAGAACAGTTTCCTGAGGAGGGCAGGGTGAGGGCCCTCCCGTAAGGTGTCTAAAGAGCTGACTCTTTCCTCCCTGCAATGTTCCTCCCTGGGCTGCAGCTCAAGCACCTGGGAGAAGGTCTGATTCACAGCCTTCTGCAGCAGCCAGCTGCCTGCTTGTCTGACCAGCATCTCTGCACAGTCCCCCATTAGTCTTTCCAACTAAGAAGTGAGGCATGTAGCCTGAGGGCAGAGGTCTGAGAATCTGAAGGCAAGATGCTCAGAGGCCTGGGAGACAGGCTGCTCTCTGCACTTCCTCGCCGGCCTCCCTGGAATGCAGGCTCCTTTCCTCAGCTCCCACGAGCCTCTGCCCACTCTCCATGCCAGGTCTAACCTGATGAATGCAGCGCTGGGGGAAATAACCAGAAACGGCCAGTCAGTCCTTGCCTTACCTTACTCAGAAGCTGCCCGCTGGCCACCGCCTCGGTAAGAGCAGACAGAACGGCACACAGCAGCGCGGAGATGAGCATCAGCACAGCGCCTGCTGCCGGCCAGGAGAGGCTGCACAGGTAGCAGGAGCCCTCAGCCGAGGTGCACACGGTGACGTGAAGGGCCCAGAGAATCAGGGACACCAAATAAAAGAGCAGAGAGAACACAGGCGGCGACAGAGTGACTTCCAGCTCGGCCTTGTGGCCCAGCGCCTGCGGGACACTGAGCAGGAGTAGGGCGAGAACCTGGAACAGCGGACGGACGTGCCCATGGCCTGGGTTTGGAGAAGCCACGAGAAAAATCCCACTTCCTGACCTGTGCCGGCCGCTCAAGAGACAGACTCAGAAGAAAACCCACTGAATACTATTCTAATGAACTGCTAAGATGACACCCACAGCAGTGTGGGGTGGAGCCGCCGACACCTCACGATACTTTGGATGTCAGGACTCACTTTGAAAGGTTAACACGAAAACTCGTATTTTTCCATTTTTAGAAACACGGCTATTATGTACACTTCGACCTATAATATTCTGGCTGAGTCACCAACTCAGTTTAACAGCTAAGCCATGACTCCCCATGAGCACCCATACCTCCAAAACCACGACGGCCCCTACCACCATGGAGTAGATGTCATACTGGGCTGCCTGTCTGCTCAGGGACAGCCCCAGGGTCCTCAAGGCATCCAAATACTGCCTGCGAACCTTGATTCCCAGGTTAGAAAGGACTTCTGAGTTATTTTCCTCCAAGTATAGTCTGATCCAGTTCCCATGCAACTTTTCTGACATTTTAAACTGCTGAAATCCAGGCTCTAAGAAGAAGAGGAAGAGGTTACATACACAGACCATGGACACGAACGCAAGTTAATAATTTCAAAGTGTTCGATCATTCACCACCTACGGCAAAGACTGATACCTAACAAGGAACTACCTCTTAAAGGGCAGCCAGTGACACCTTCGATGGAACTGTAACAGCTGGCCGTGCCTGTGTGCTCTCGGACATCCTGCCTGCCTGCCAGCCTGCCGCGGCCCTCAGCACACGGCCGTGCACACACAGACGGGCGTGCCTGCACACCGCTCTGCCTCTCTCTCTACCCCTTGCACCTGGCCTTACCTCCTCCCCGCCCCTCCACTCTTTTTTTCTTTAACTGAGATATAAAACAACCCAGAAATGCATTACATTAATAGGTGTTGGCCGAGGCTCACGCATGGTGAGGACTGGGTGGGCAGCGGCCTGACGCCTCACCCACACACCCACTTCCCCAGTGCGGGCTGGTCGCTCTTGTCTTCCAGGCACTTCTGACTTGCTCTTCCGCACTCATCTGCTTCGGAAGGCAACGGTGGTCTAGCATGTCCTGCCGCATGGGAAGCCACATCTCCAGTGTGCAGTACCCAGCTGAAGGCCTTACCCCCATGCAAAGCCAGGTGACGGAACAGCTCCTGAAGTCCAGTCCCTCCTGCAGCTAGCACCCCCTTCTGGGTGGCAGTGGCGGCCTGCCTTCCTTAAGCAGCTGGACCACTCACTTGTGATTCACAAGCAAGGCAGGATTTCCTTTCTGAGATTCCTGGGATTTAACATGCTCTTCTGGTTTCCAGCAGAGCCATGGCAAGGCAGTCTAGGCTGTGTCTTTCAGGCACTGCCCTGCCCACCAGGAGTGTACTCACCCCAGTCTTCCCTTATCACAGCAGGGACAGAGACCGAGCCACCCATCTCACATGGCCCAGCATCCTTGCTGCACAATCCTGGAGCACGGGGCCAAACACCTGCAGCCCCACCACGGGTGCCGGAGTCAGTTGACTGGTGCCAAGTGCTGGTGGCTAGCACAAATCTAAGCCCCTGCGCGCTTGTCCTCTCCCCCCAGCCTCTGAGACAGGATGATTCTCATGCCCTCGCCAGAGAGGAGGTGGCCTGGACACCAGCTCATCTGGTGCATGAGAGCTGGGTCTGAACTCAGGCGGCCTGGACCCAGGCTGGTACTCTAACGTGCCACTCCCCACCACCTAGGGTCAGAGACAGGGGGGCACCCCACCACCCAGGGCCATGGAGACATGGGGGCTCCTGTGTGTGCATCCAAACAAATAGTGACTGAGCACCAGGTGCCTGTAAACAGCCTGGGCCTGATGTCCAGAGGGATGCTCACACTTGTGTGTAATTACACTATGGAGGGAGAGTCAAGGGAGTCATGAGACTTCTGGCAATGGAGAGGGAACTCATTGGAGACTGTGGTTGAGGGTCAGGGACAGGGAAGGTGTGACATTTAAGCTAGAATGCGAAGGATGCCAGGTGTTAACCAGGCGAACACTGGGGAAGAGTGCCCGGTCGGCAGGGAGAGGACATGCACATATCCTGAGGTGAGGACAACCTGTTCTCCTGGAACTGACAGTCAGCCAGCGATGGGCAGGTTGTATTACAGTGGGCTGGACATCGTGGGAGGCCTTGAAATCTATTTAAGCACCAGACCCATACCCAGTTGTTTTTTTTCAAAAAACACAGTCACTGATGGTGTAGACAAAGGGCGCCCGATGTGTGTAAGACCCCACGGATGCTTTCTCATTCCAGGAACTGGCCCATGCTCATTTCACAGGCTCATTCTCAGCCACCCACCAAGTGCTCCGGTCTCCCTACACTGCTGTTCCTGAAATAAGCAAACAACCCCCTCTGGTGTTTTTACTGGCTGTTAGTATAAGAAAAAGGGTACACATTACCGGTAACAACAATGCAAAAGCTGCCAAGCTCATTAGGTTATTTCTGAAAAGAACAACAATAAAGTAACAGTTGTCCCTGGTCTGGACTGAAATGTGCGCTGTGACCGGCCCTCGCCTTTGACAAAGTTGCTCACTGGGGCTTCATGGGCAAAGAGCTGGTGCTCCCCAAGTCCCCCTGCCATCCGGGACATCTCTGCTTGGCCACTCCCACTGGCCGTGCTTCCTCCACAAGCAACTCTAGGTCGGTTTGCATCTCAGCATCAACTCAGAGCAGTCACCCAACTTGGTAGGACACCACCCTTTCCGGTAGAAAAAAACCTGCCAACACTGCATTAAATGCTGCCTCAGACTAGGATTCCCAGCCAAGTCCCAGCGAAGCGCCTGGCTGGGTCAGAGCAAACTAAAAATGTGGTCCCAGGGAGCTGCACTCCCCCATTCTGGATCATTCCTGCAGCATATAAACAACCCCTAATTTCTCCCAGTTTAAAAACAAAAGCAATATACCCTGTCCTGGCCCTCAGTCACCTAAGACAACAGTCTGTTTCCCTGCTCCCCTCAGCGCTGCCTGTCCGACGTCTCCAGCTCCCTGCCCGCACACACCCCGGCCTGGCCTCCCAGCACTCCACGTGAACTGCCCCCAACGAAGCTGCTGACAACCTCACTTACCAGATGAATGCTCAGTCCCCAACTGCTCATTTGATTTGACCTTGAGCCGCATTAACACAGCTGCTCACTGCCTCCTCCTTGAAACGCCTCATTTACGGTCCCCTCAGAGCCAACCGCTCCCCTGTGAACGCCGCATCCTGCGGGCCTGCTCTTCCTAGTCATCCCACCTCGGAATGGTCTCCCCGTGCTTTCGCTGTTCGGCTGAAAACCACGAGTCGTTCCTTACATCTGTCACAATAGCACAGTTTGTGGGCTGTCAACATACATGCAGAAGGCAACCTTCCACCCTGATTCCTCCGCCACTGCCTGGGCCCTCACGTCCTCACCGACGTGCCGCAGCAGCCTCCTGACTCTCTGGTCCAGCCCGGGGCAGAAGCTTCCCCCCGGGCACCTGAAAGAGCCTCTGAAAACTCAAGTCGAAGATAGGCTCCACGTGAATCCCTGCAGCTCCTCCCATCTGACCCCGCGGAGAGCGAGGGCCCCGCCGGTGCCCTGGAGGCCCTCGCATACCCCTGACCTCATCTCCTCTGCCTCGCCTCAGTTCAGCCGCTCTGGCTCAGTTGAGCAAGTCACTTCTTGAATGTGCAGTCCTGTCCCCGCCACAGGGCCCTGCATCTGCTGCGGTGCCATCCCAGGGCTCCCAGGCCCGGCCTGCCCAACGGCCCTAACCCTCCTGCACTCCCCAGTTCTTCCTCTCCGAAGGCCCTCCCCACAGCTGACATGACTGCTACTTCCTCCTCTCTTCCCCTGGATGGTAAACTCCACTGGGGCAAAGCCTCGTACCACTGTGTCTCCAGGACTTTCAAAGGTCTCCAGCCCAACAGGAACTCAGTGAAAAAATTCAACACTTGTTGAATGAATAACTATGGAAGGATCTGGTTTAGATACCCGCCTCTGCAGGCATTGCTAATGGTGACAGTCAAGGTTCTAAGAAACAGGCACACATCTGCATCATTGAGGACTAAGTGCAGAACACACCCAGAAAGGGTGGGCGCAGTGCAGCCGTCTGAAGGAATTAGCAGCTGTTAACCGACTCACCTTTTTGATATGAGGGCACATTTTCTTTTAATAGTTTGCTAAGCTGTACTGTATTTAAATGTAAAAATCTCAGTTGTTCTCTCATCGGTTTTCTTTCCACAACTGGGAGTAACAGACTGCCCACACTGGTTTTTGGGATTGGCAGGCCAAGCCCTATCGCCAGAGTCGCAGCCAAGTCGGTCTGCTGAACACGCTGTGGGCGTCTGGTATCACCTAGAAAAGAGAGCGGCTTAAGCGACAGGTTTGAGGGTGAGCATTTGATGGCAGCCTTTCTTGAATTTGACTTTCTACAACTGGTGTGAGTCAAATTACCCACCACTTCACACTGTTCTGTGTGGATTCACTCAAAAAACACCTCACTGTTCCTTTACTTCAGTGAGGTCACCGAGCACCTCATCTGTGTGGAGCACCAGTCACACGTGACACAGGTGCAGGGAACTCAGCGCTGCGTGGAGTGAGCTTGGAGGCGGCAGGTGGCTTCACCAAGGTCACTTTTCCGAGGCCAACGGCCCATCCGAGGAAAGGCAAGGGGGGGGCTCTCCAGCAGCCCTGCCCCTCTAGACTGTGAGCAGCCTGCACAGCCCCATGGGGACACTGACGCAGCCGACTCACCCGGGCCGAGTTCCACATTGGACTCTGACAAGCAAGACATCGCCTACCAAGGGCCTGAGCACCGAAGGCGCTTCAAGCCTCACAGCTGTCGGCCACCCCATCAACTTTGCAAGAACAATGTCAGGACAGTTGGCTCAGGTCCCTGCTCTGCCACCATCCAGTGGGAGGGCTTGGACGAGAAACAGCTTGTTCTCTCATCTGTGAGGAGAGCGCCCAGCCCCCACACTACAGGAGCTACGACGCAAGTCTGCAGGGGGCTGAGGCCGCCAGGCACGTCCACCCAGCAGGGTCCATATGGGGCTCTTAGATACTCTAGGGTGAGTCTGAAGAGGTTTTACTTTGCAGTAATTTTTACTTGTATAGAAGTTGTCTTTTTAATGTGACCAAATTTATCATTATTTCTTGACCAACCCTCTACTGATGGCTTCTGGGCTATACTAAGAAAGAACTTTTCTGCTCCAATGTTACTATGTGTTTTTTTCCTCGTTTGTCCTGCATTAAGTGCTTTGATCTGAAACAAAACTCCCAACAAAAAGCCCATCTTAACCTGCTTTTGGCACAAACACTGGTGGCAGTGACACTGCCATTCTGAGACTGTTGTGCGTCATTGGGTGAACTCACATCTGGGGTTGCTGGCACCAGGATGCTGAGCTTGGGAGGAAGACCATATACGTGAGATCTAAGTTAATTTTACAGTACTGAATGTGAATGGCACCTATCAATAACCCTAATTCAGGATAAATTTTACCTTATAAAGATTCTGTTGCTTTGTCCATAAATGACCAGCCAGTAACCACAAGATCACTAGCTCTAACGCAGTGGTCCTCAAAGACCCCTTTCCACTGAAAGGAAACAGCATCTTGGAGAAGCAGCTGATTCCAGGTCCAGAGAAGGGACTGTTACATGAGAGCTGGGAACACCATCTCAGACCAGACAGCGAGAGAGCTTGCAGAGATACTGAGATAAATAAGTTTGAGAACTTACTTATGGTCAGGACTGAGGACCTAATCTGAAGATGCTCTTGCTCACCAAAGATGGCATAATTTGAATATTAAAAAGAATAGTATCTATAGTGAATGGAAACAAGTAAGATATGCTTAAGTCCATGAGTTCACAACATTACTTAAAAAAAAAAACTGGCCAGAGCTGAAGATGCTAGTGAAATCCTAGCGAACTCAATCACTGATTTAAAACTGGAAGTTTCAAGAAACTTAATTTGAAATTAAGTGGGATGAATAACCCATCATTTATCCTACGACTATTGAATAAATGGTAGAGCTGGGAAACCAAGAAGTAGATGGGGGAAGAGTCTCTTTATAGAATTATTCTGGCTATTTAATGGGAAAAAGAATTATGGAATGGAAGTATAACTATATAACTATTTGCAACCTTTAGTTAATTACTGGCCCTTGTTGTTTGTCAATGGCTACTGACTTCACGATACCGCAGACAGACAGACTGTGTGCCTCCTGCTAGAAGGCAGGCTTCCTGCTAGCCTTTCAGAGCCAACCAAATCCACGGGATCGGAACTGGCTCACATTACCGGGTTAGAAGGGAGTTACAGGACAGACAGAGGACATATTAGCAGACAATGCAGAGAGACGACTCCACAGGACAAAATGACCAGATTTCTTCAAAAAATAAGTCGTAGTAAAATGAAAGAGGGTAGGGATGTGGACCTACAGATTATAAGAAATTTAAAGATACACAGTTTTTTTTGCCCCCTAACTCAAACTAAAGAGAAAGCGACAGAATTGTAAATTTGAACACTGACCACTGATACTAAGAATTCATGCTATATTTTAAATGTGATAATGTATCAAGATTGCATTCAAAAATAAAGAGAGTAATAAAGGAGGAAGATGGTAAGGATGGTGGGCTGGGCATTTATTACACTACTTTGGCTACTTAAAAAAATTTTTTTATTAAGGTATCATTGATATACACTCATGAAGGTTTCACAAGAAAAACAATGTGATTATTACATTCACCCTTATTATCGAGTCCCCCCCAACCCCACTGCAGTCACTGTCCACTAATGTAGTAAGATGCCACAGAGTCCCTGTTTGTCTTCTCTGAGCTACACTATATTCCCTGTGACCCCACACACACCATGTGCACCAATCATGATACCCCACAATCCCCTTCTCCCTCTTTCCCCACCCACCCTCTCCCACCCCTCCCCTTTGGTAACCATGAGTCCCTTCTTGGAGACTGTGAGTCAGCTGCTATTTTGTTCCTTCAGTTTTGCTTCGTTGTTACAGTCCACAAGTGAGGGAAATCATTTGGTATTTGTCTTTCTCTGCCTGACTTATTTCACTGGGCACAATACCCTCCAGCTCCATCCATGTTGTTGCAAATGGTAGGATTTGTTTCTTTCTTATGGTTGAATAGTATTCCATTGTGTATACGTACCACCTCTTCTTTATTCATTCATCTACTGATGGACACAGCTTGCTTCCGTTTCTTGGCTATTGTAAATAGTGCTGTGATAAACATAGGGGTGCATATGTCTTTTTGAATCTGAGTTGTTTTCTTTGAGAAAATTCCCAGGAGTGGAATTCTGGGTCAAATGGTATTTCTATTTTTAGTTTTTTGAGGAGCCTCCATATTGCTTTCCACAGTGGTTGAACTAGTTTACATTCCCACCAGCAGTGTAGGAGGGTTCCTCTTTCTCCGCAACCTTGCCAGCATTTGTCAGCATTTGTTGTTCCTTGTCTTTTCTATGTCGGCCATCCTAACTGGTGTGAGGTGACATCTCACTGTGGTTTTAATTTGCATTCCCCTGATAATTAGCGATGTGAAGCATCTTTTCATGTGCCTGTCGGCCATCTGAATTTCTTCTTTGGAGAAGTGTCTGTTCATATCCTCTGCCCATTTTTTAATTGGGTTATTTGCTTTTTGGGTGTTGAGGTAGTGAGATCTTGATGTATTTTGAATGTTAACCCCTTGTCGGATATGTCATTTATGAATATATTCTCCCATACTGTAGGATGCCTTTTTGTTCTACTGATGGTGTCCTTTGCTGTACAGAAGCTTTTTAGCTTGATGTAGTCCCATCTGTTCATTTTTTATTTTGTTTCCCTTGCCTGAGGAGATGTGTTCAGGAAAAAGTTGCTCATGTTTATATTCAAGAGATTTTTGCCTATGTTTTCTTCTAAGAGTTTTATGGTTTCATGACTTATATTCAGGTCTTTGATCCATTTCGAGTTTACTTTTTTGTACAGGGTTAGACAGTGATCCAGTTTCATTCTCTTGTATGTAGCTGTCCAGTTTTGCCAACACCAGCTGTGGAACAGGCTGTCATTTCTCCATTGTATATCAATGGCTCCTTTGTTGTATATTAATTGACCATATATGCTTGGGTTTGTATCTGGGCTCTCTGGTCTGTTCCAGTGGTCTATGGGTCTGTTCTTGTGCCAGTACCAAATTGTCTTGATTACTGTGGCTTTGTAGTAGAGCTTGAAGTTGGGGAGCATAATTCCCCCCTGCTTTGTTCTTCCTTCTCAGGATTGCTTTGGCTATTTGGGGTCTTTTGTGGTTCCATATGAATTTCAGAACACTTTAGCTATTTTTATATGTCTGAACATTTCCATAATAAAGAATCTTTAAAAAGAACAAAGTGTTCTGATCTGGGATTTTATATTGGCTTAAAGAATGAGCGAGCTAATCTTAGCACTTTCCCCAGAAGGTCAGCCCGTGCCCACATCTCGTGAGTGCCTTGGCTGTCCTCCACTCATTTGAAACACCTGCTCTGCCACCAAATGCCTATATATACTGGGGTCCACCACTGGCCTCTCGATTTTGTCCCACTGATTACCATGACTAGTTCTTGCCAGCACTATTTTAAGAACTGTAATTTTGTAATACTGACAACACAGGGTAGGTCCGATCTCTACTTTTCTTTCTGTGAGATCAGGACTCTAGGGATGGGCAGCAGAAAGTGGGGGATATTAAAAATCAAATGGTACGCAATCCAAAACTACCTATACTTCAGAACAATAAACACCTTAATGTTTATTGTATTAAATTAAACAACAAAAATTTGCAGGATAAAGTAAGCCTTTAAAGAACTATCAGGAATGGTGGTTTGAGGAGCTCTGCGGACCTGCCCACCAGGGAAACAAGCATTAACTGGTAGAAAGACACAAACGTCCACCACAGAATGCATTTATAGACTCTGGAAACATCATCCAATGAAGAAGTCATTCAGTAACAGCTAATAACCGCTTGGTAGGAGCAGAAGAGTCTGGCTGCTGGGGGGAAGCGTGACTCAGTTTCCCCCTCCCTTTTCAGCTCAGTGGGACAGAAACTCCACGCTGAGTGGGTGCAGCTGAGACACAGGGCTCCCTCTGCCCCCAGATCCCTGTGGAGGTTTGTGCTTTCCCTAGGAGGGACACTGTTGTCCTCAGCTAC